GGATCCCGTAGGTCGGCTGGCACAGGATGGCAGCCAGGCCGGGGTTTAAATGTTTCCAAAGGTGGAAACCCCTCTGGGCAGCCTGTTCCGTGCTCTGCCACCCTCAGAGTGAAGAAGCTCCTCCTCATATTTAGGTAGAACTGCCTGTGTTTAAGGTTGTGCCGGTTACTTCTTGTTCTGTCACTGGGCACTGCCAAAAAAAGGCTGAGCCCGTCCTCCTGACACCCACTATAAGTATTTACAAGCGGTGATAAGATCCCCCCTCAATCTTCTCTTCTGCAGACACAAGTCATAGAATCATAGAATCCTAGAATGGCCTAGGCTGAAAGGGGCCTTAGAAATCATCTGGTCCAACCTCCCTGTCATGGGCAGGGACGCCACCTCTCGACTAGACCAGGCAACACATGGGGACCGAGCGGGATTCGATCCCACGACCTCGGTGTTGGTCCTTGTTGTCAGCACCACGCTCCTTTCCCCCTAAGAGATGCTCTCGGTGATCACAGTTTACAGGCCCCAATGATTCAGCCCTTGGCAGCAGGACTGGTTCCTCCTCCTCGCTAAAAACTCACGTGCGCTTTCTTCCCTTAGTGACTTGCCAAGTTTTCTAACCCTCTCCTGATTCCCAGGGAGAAAGATCTTGACGAAGTCCTGCAGACACACACAGTGTTTGTCAACGTTTCCAAAGGCCAGGTTGCGAAGAAGGAAGATCTCGTTAAAGCATTTGGGACGGATGACCAGACAGAAATCTGTAAGATGGTAGGTTTCACACATCTTGCTTTATAAAAACTTGGAAAAGACTTCCCGAGTGCTTTACATGAGGGTCATGCAGACATGTTAGGTTGGTTGGTTACTGGAAGGCTTTCTTAGAATGCAGTGCTGCTGTAAACAAGAGAGTTTATTTGCCAATAAATGGGTAGAAAGGAGTGGTAATTCACTGGTGTAAACTTAAGTTTTATAGATACATCTGGCTGGAGAGAGTACTGAGTGTTCTGTGCACTGATGTCTACGGACACAGAAGAAAAGTTAGTGAGCCCTGCTTCCTTTCCAGCAGGGAAAGGAAGGGGACAGTTGCTTCGTTTGGACAGTTCAATTAAACATTAAGAACAGATCTACCTTCTTAGTCCTTCTTGGCAAGATACGCACTGTGGACTTGTGGGTGATAAGAATCTGTGATTCTGTTTTTGTAGTTTAGTGTTCCTGTGGTGGGTCTTTTGTCTGAAGTCTTTTCAGTGTTGTCTGTTGTAACGATGTACGTTAACCACAATTAACCAAACTATTCAAGCAGTTGTTAAATTTAACAAAGTTACTACAGTATTTGCTCCTTGGTCAAATTTGTGATGTTTATTAACTAAGTTCTTTATTTTTACTGTACAGATTTTATCAAAAGGGGAACTGCAGGTATCGGACAAAGAACGACAGACACAGCTGGAGCAGATGTTCAGAGACATCGCGACTATTGTGGCTGACAAGTGTGTGAATCCTGAAACAAAGAGACCATACACAGTAATCCTCATAGAAAGAGCCATGAAGGATATTCACTACTCCGTGAAACCACACAAGAGCACGAAGCAGCAGGTTAGTTTTCTCACAAAATCAACTTCTGCTCAGAGGTGTTGCCTTCAAGCGTCATTTCTCTGTTGGCAGTCACAGAGGGATCAACAAAGCCCCGTGGTCTAAAGCCCAACAAGAGATTACTCACCCAGCTGAATGCTGAACGCTGGATACAAGCAGCTTTGGAAACTCGTGCAGTTGGTTTTCTAACAATTTGGGGAAGGGAGAAGGAAAGAAACAAGTGGAAGCAGCAGCAGTGATGTGCCTGGAACAGAAACAGAAGTTCTTTTATTTATTGGAATTGAGGCGGTAAATCAGGCTTTGCATCTGAGCCCATGGGTTTCTGTTGATTTGTAGTGCAACTGCTATTTAAGGTTACTTCAGACAGGTTTTTTTAAGTACCTGAAGTGATTGTGAACAGCAAGAACTCTGCCTTTGCTTGTTAATCCATCAAAATAGCATGGTAGCAAACTCGCTGCGGCGGAGCAGCAGTGGTCAGTGCTGAGAAACGTGTCTGAAGGTAGCTCAGAGGGTTTGAGATTTTGATCTGTGCTGTATTTTTTCTGCAACTGTTTGAGTGCTCTTTTTTCTTAATGTCTTTACAGGCACTGGAAGTGATCAGGCAGTTAAAGGAGACCATGCAAATTGAACGTGCTCACATGAGGCTGCGATTTATTCTTCCGGCAAAGGAAGGGAAGAAACTGAAAGAGAAGCTCAAGCCACTGATTAAAGTTATTGAGAATGAAGACTTCCATGAACAGCTGGAAATTGTAAGCGATAAAGCAGTCCTTGGGTTCCATACTTGATTTGATTACCCTGTATGTTTTACTGGAGGATGAGTTGAAGCTGTTTAGATAAGCTGCAAGTTTACCAGAGATTCTAAATCAGAGGTGTAGTTTGTAGTTTTTAGTTTCACACAATCCTAGTGATGTAACCTTGAAAGTAGCTGTTCCTGTGCAGCAATTGCTGCTCCAGGTGGCGGAGAAACAAGGGTGTAACTTCTCTTAGCAGTGATTGTCCCACAACACTGATAAGTTTCTCTGCATACATGGAATGTCACTCCTCTTTATTTGGTCGGTCAGGCTTGTGTTTGGACAGTGGTTAATTAGATTTCCAAAAATAGCCTGTGGTAAAGAAAAATTTGGTATTAGTAAAAACTTTCGGAGAACAGATTAGAATCTCGCAATCCCAACTGTCAAAAGAGACGTCCAGCCTGTGTAGATGGAACTACAGAGCTTCAGTGGATGGATGACTTGACAGAAATTGGTTATCAGCTCTGCAAAGTCCTTCTTTGTAATGTTGTTTTGTTTGGTTTTTTAAATTAAGATTTATGTTAGACCTTGAAAAAGGGGATGATGAAATCGAATATTATTGCTTGACAAAACGTGAAACATTTCAGGTGTGCCTCATTGACCCCGGCTGCTTCAGAGAGATTGATGAGCTGATCCGGAGCGAGACAAAAGGGAAAGGAACGCTGGAAGTGCTCAGTCTGAAAGATGTGGAGGAAGGAGATGAGAAGCTTGAATAATGAAGACCTTCCTGCAGCAGTTCTACTTCAACAACATCCTACGAAGTGACTGACGTTAGCCACTCTCTTCTGTTAGGCCTTCATGTTTTTTCCAATTTCTTGCTGCCAAATATTTTCTGACACTAATCCTTTGGGATTTTTCCATGCAGTGTGGGGGTCTTTAATCATTTTACACTTGCTTGGTTTACAGATGTCTTTGCCTGTAAGAACATTTTGTGTCGGAGTTGCACTAACGAGGATTGAGTTAAGATGTGATACGGAAGCTACTCTAACTTTGGGTTACTTTCAAGGTTGCTGTTCAAGAGCGTTTGATGGATGTGGTGCCAATCATTTTTACTTTTAAGCTGTCGGTGCTGAGTGAAAGATTGTGTAGGTCACCGAGGGGTCAGTCTTGGATGTGAGGAGAGGAACCTTCAGAAAAAGAGAGCTGCATTTTCACTTCTAAGCAGGTGCAAAGTGTGGATCGTGTCTAAAAACCAATCTCTTGGCAGCATGAAAACTGATTTAAACTTCTATAATTGGCTGCTTTGGTAATTAGAGTACTTTAAAGGACCATTCTTAAAAGATTTCCTTCACTGGCTATAAGAGTACTTGCTGACTTAGAAAAGCGTTCTCCAAATAACTTAATCATAAAATATATTTAGCTACATTAATGAAAATGAACCGTTGTCTATTTATATATTATAGATACAGAAAGAAACAAAATAATTATTTTTGTTAAGAGTATAAGAGGTACCTGTGGCTGTGGCGATGCCTTTTGTAGGCTGAAGGGACGGCCGGCGCTTGTGAGCCCTTCTCGTTCATGTGATAAAATGAATCTCGAACAGGCAGGGGTGGCCTCTGGCCATTGAGCAAGACAGACCTTTGTCAGGCCATCGTTCCCCAGCGTGTGCCCTTTTTTTGCACAATAGAGAACAATCCTGGCAGCTGTCCTTTATCCTCTCTCTTTTCATGCTGCGTTCTGATAGATGCGCAGAATGGCCAGCCAGCTCCTCAGGCACCGTATATAGCACTTGATGATTCTGTTAAATCTTGTTTCAGCTGTGTTAAACAAATGCTTTTCGGCTGAATTTGTGTGTTTCTAAGGAGAGGGGAAGAGAGGACAACAACCAGAGGAGATACTGAAAATACAGGAATGTGTGCTTGGGTGACTAAAAGCTAAATGAGCAGGGATTTCGGGAGTCTTGAGTATTGACGTACCTGTTCACACGCTGAGGGTACGCAGCAGGTCAGGAGCTGCAGGCGAGCCGGTGACTAGATCTCTCCCAGATGAGCACATGTTGTGTTCAGCGTTTGCTGGGTTAGAGCGCACAACTCCACCTGTTATGCAAGAAATAAACAGAGCTCTGGTTTGTATCTCAACATGACCTTTTCCTTTGTACCATTAACACGTTGTGAATTTTCTAGAATTCAAGCAGGGAAAGTTGAAGTCAGCTGGAGGGGTGGAGGCTTGATTGAAGCCTCTCTGGCCAAATACAAGCCAAGAAGACCAATAGCACGGTGACCTGTATCAGCAACAGTGTGGCCAGCAGGACCAGGACAGGGATTGTCACCCTGTGCTCAGCACTGGTGAGGCTGCACCTCAAACCCTGTGTCGAGTTTGGGCCCCTCACAACGAGAACGGCATTGAGATGCTGGAGTGGGTTCAGAGAAGGACAACAAAGGGTCTGGAGAACAAGTCTTACGAGATGCAGCTGAGGGAACTGAGGTTATTCAGCCTGGAGAAAAGGAGGCTGAGGGGAGACATCGCTCTCTACAACTCCCTGACAGGAGGTTGTAGTGAGGTAACTTGTTCCAAGTCACAAGAGGAAACAGCCATCTGCACCTGACGTGTCACAGGAACGTAGAATCACAGGATTGTTTAGGTTGGAAGACCCTTAAGATCGAGTACAAGTGTTAACCTAGCTTGTTGCTAGTTTTTCAAACAACTGTCTCTTCATATGTACGTTACGAAGCACTGAAGATGATAATGTTAATATTTAGCTTGTCACTGTTAATTAGCACTAACATGCAGCTCCTAAGCCTGCAAATAAGACACTAAGAGCCTCAGATGATACTTTCTCAGTAATCCATTTCACAGTCCTCTTTGTTTCCTAGATTTGACAATTAGAGCACAATAGGATGGCAAATTAGAGATCTTCAGTTAGAAAAACTTAATCTAAGCTAAATTACAAGTTTGGTGCTAGGAAGGCAATTTCCTTATAAAGTCTTTTGCTGCAAATCAAATGTTAAGGCTTTTCTTGGGTAAAGGGAGCTTCACTTCAACAAACCAATGTACGTGCTTGCGTTTCTTGTCATATTTGTAGTTCAGTGAGAACGTATGATAAGCATCAAAATAAACACCGGTGTTGGTAGCTGGTTTGTTCTTGCCTGTTTCAACAGGAACAAAACTCCCTGCGCAGCCATTCCTTGACTAACTCAAATTTCCAGCAGTACATATCTTGGTAGTAACAGACACTTCTTACCATGTGAAATAAGCTGGCAGCTTGCAGGAGAGCACTGGTAGCGTGTCTGGGTTGACACAGACACATTATTTTCCCTGAAATTGTCTTTGTTCTGTTGCTGGGGGGCTTGGAGGGCTCCCGAGGCTGGGCGGGTTGCAGCTGCCAAAGCTCCAGCATTGGGAAACGCAGCTGGGATCCCCACTGCCCGTCCTGCCTTCAGCCACCTCGGCGAACTGGGAAATCAGTTACTAATTAATTTGTTACCCACAAAACTGTAGAGGAAGGGGCTGCAGGCAGCGGTGGTGGAGCAGCGGGGGATGGCCAAGCAGGAGGTGCGGAACGCGGCACTTGGAGGTGCCATGGCGATGGTTCCATGGGCGTGGTGAGCTCAGTTCTGTTCCTGGTCACAACCCAGCGACGACGTCCCTGCCAGGCCAGGGAGGCACGATGGCTGTCGCGCAGGCACAGGGGCTGGAGGGACGAGGCATGAGCGCCAGCCCCACGCAGAGATGGAAGCCAAGCCTCGACCAGCGCGCCCAGGAGCTGCACGCCGCCATCGCCTTGCAAGGTGCTGCCCCTTTGGCTTCGCGGGTCAGCCCGGAGGCTCTTGGTGTCCCCCATCATCCTGCATGGTCCAACAGCATTTTTCTTGTCCTGCAGAGCAAGGAAGGAAGTTTTTCGTGCAGTTGTGCGAGGAGAAACTCAGTCAGAAGAGAGAGGTGCTCCCCAAGCTGCGCGAGGCGGTGCGGGAGGATGTCCGCACTCTGGACAGCATCGAGAAGGTACTGGCAGGTCCCTCATGCTGTGTCCCTGCCCAGGGCTGGTCCGGCAGAGCCAGCTTCCCCACTGGTCCTCGCCAGGAGCAGGCAACCCAGGGCAGCAGCAGGATGTGAATGTCCCCACATCACAACAAGCCCTCTCACTTACAGGGCAACAAACTCAGCACCTCCACAGCTTGCGAAGAGCAGAAGCCCTTGGGCGTCGCTTTGGCCAGGGAGACGGTGGAGGTAACGGCATGGGCTGCTCGCAGGGAACTGGGGCTCCGGGGACGCTCAGAAGAACGGGGCTCACCGCTGAGGGTCCTGGTGCCAGCACAAGGACACCCCCAGGGGCTGGCATAGCAAGACACGGGTCGTTCACGTGTGGTCCCATGAGCCCTTTTCCACCGTAGGGCCCAACTGTGCAGCTCCTTTAGCTCCCTGAGCAGATGGATCCTTTGTCCCAGCAGAGCTCCTGATTGTCCCCACCTAGGGCTGCTTGGGTTCCTGTAGGCTCCAAGATTCCTGGGACAGAGATGCTGTCTCTGCCCTTCACTGCATGGCCCAAGGTTATGACCTCGTTACAGGCCCATGGAGACAGAGACACTGGCCCCAAAGAGCTGCTTTTGCCCGAGGGCCTCTCGCTGGGACAGAGCGGTGCTGCCACTCTCCACCAGCATCGATCACGCTGGTCGATGTTATTGATGCCCAGCCCTGGGTCTGCATTAGGCACAGTCCCTCAGCCTGACCCACCACTGCCACCAGCAGATGCCTGCCTCTGCCCTACCCCAACAAGCCCCCAGAGCAAAGCTCTCCCAGATGCCATCCTGCTGAGGGAGTGACAATGTCCCAGAGCAATGATCCAGTGTCCCTGGCTCTATCCTGGAGGGGGTTTTCCAGTCAGGACCCCCTTTAGAGGCAGGTGCCCAGCAAGCCCTGCCTCCAGCCTGGCCAACGCTTGCATGCCCATCCAGGTGGCCCAGGAGAGGCTCCGCAGTGAGATCTATGACCAGGTGAACACATCCAACCTGCTGCTGTACCAGCTGAGTCAGCGGAGCCGAGCCCAGGGCGAGCTGCAGAGGCGGCTACAGCAGCTCCTGGATGCTGAGATGGATGACAAGCAGCACCAGGCACAGGCACAGGTACCCAGGACCCCTTCCTGAGGTAGCAGAACCCACAGGGAGGCTTTAATCCAACCCCCGCACCCCACAGGTGGGTGCCAGGTTCAGCACACAGGATCACCCCATGTCCCCCCCACTCTGTTTCTGCCCTAGATGATTTGCCAGCTGGAGAACAAGATTGGGAAGACACTCCCGAAAATCCGTGCTGCTCAGACAGACAGCACCCTGTACCTGATGGCGCGGGATGTCCTGAAGAAGGTGAGCTCCTCCTCACTATGCCATCGTCCCACCCGCTCTGCCTGCAAAGGCAATGAGCCACCCAAGGATACATTGGTGGGATGTCCTTCTGGATCGGTGAGGTCCTCCTGTTCCCCTCCATCCCATGTTACAGTGCAGGGGACTCCTGGAGTCGGTGGGGTGACGTACTGTGGCTCCCTATGTCCTAGGAGCTGGTCAGCCTGCTTCAGCACCTGGACATCATGAGCAGGATGTCTGAGATGTACCACTGGGACCTGGAAGACATGGAGCACATGCCCTTGGAAGCTCGCAAATCTGCTTATATAGTCAAGGTGAGATGGTCTGAGGGAACTTGAGGCCCTCTCCTGCCTTCCAGAACCCGCATACAACACCGCATGCCCAGGCTGAAACAGAGAGAAAAAGAGACTGAGCTGGGCTTGCCCACAGCACCTAGGTGCCTCCATAGCTCCTCCTGGGTCTTGCTCTTGGGTCAGGCTGCCCTGAGGCTGGGTCTTCTTTGATGCTGCCACCCCGGCAGCTGAGTTAGCTCACGAAGGTCCAGTGGCTTTGGCAGCCACCTCTCCCCTCTTTGATATGCTTCAGAAGGATATGGCTGATATGGAAACCGTCTTCCTCATGGAGAGAGAGGTCAGGTCCCAAACACTGGCTGCCATCCAAGCGGAGGACGACATGCTCTGGTTCATGGAAGCAAGTCAAAAGCATCGGAGGCTGGTGAGCTCGGGGGACGAGGCACAGGCAGGGCTGAGGGCAGATGGCCAGCATTTGTGCCAAGCACCCCATGGGGGGGTCAGCGGGGAGCTCCAAGGCTAGCTCCCCCAGGGTGCCAGCAGCTCAGGGGGTAACGACGAACATCCTTGCAGCTAGCCAGATTCAAGTTCACCATAGACTCCTCGAGCCTGCAGGAATCGCTAACAGGTGAGTGGCTGGCAGAGCGCAGGGGGGTGGGACGCGGGCACAGACATCCATACCTGCCGATTACCTCCTGTCCCAGACACCGAATCAGAGGACACCAAGTCTCAGATGGACTACAGGTCCGGCATGATCGAGAAGATGGAGGATGCCAAGGCACTGATGAAGTGCTCCTGCATCTGGGTAACGTAAAAAAACCTCATCAGGATACCCCGGGGCTGCTTGGGCCCTGGGGAGCTGAGACCTCTCTGCTCCTCTTATTTCATTGTGGGGTTATCTGCCTCGCTCTGCCCCAGGGGCTCCCCAAAGCCCCTGTTGTGCAGGCAGTTGCTTTTCTCCACGACGTAAACTTGCTGTGGCCTGTGACGCAGAAACCTGCCCACGGTCACAGCCCCAGTCCTATACCCGGCAGGAGTGCCATAGGCTGAGCCTTCATGTTCTCCCTTGGCCAGGACATGCACAAAAGGATCCAGGCAAAGCAGAATTACTCGGTGGACCTGAAGCATCACTTCAATGACCTCAAGGAGAAGAAGCAGGCACTGAAGAAGACACTGGAGGAGTTGGAGCTGAAGCAGGCTGAGCTGAAGTTTCGTCAGACCCCCAAAACAACCAGGTGCTGCTGGCCTCAGGACAGTCATACCAACTATGCCACCACCCTTGGAGAGGAGGATCACGTCCCTCCCAAGTGTCCCAACAGGACATCCCCTCCTCCATCCCACTGCTACTGCCAAACCCACCTGCATTGGGAGGCTTTCTGAGCAGGGTGCTCCCCCAGCTCTGGTCTTGGCAGGGCACCCAAAGCTCTCGTTGTGACACCAGGAGGACCCATGTTCCTCACCTGGCAGAAGAAGTGGTACCAGCAGCATGCAGTTGGGTTGCAGGCAGGACCTCTGCTCTGCAGCTGCGGGGGGCGGGGGCAACCTAAGCAACTTTTGCAACAGATTTGGGGTTTCTGTGCACCCCTGTGAAGTTATATGGGTGTGAATGTGATTGGCTCCAGGATGCTGGAGGAGAGCCTGAGGATGAACCTGCAGAAGGAAGAGGCTCGGCTGAAGCAGATGCCAGACCAGATGTTGAGGAACCAGCGTCTCCTATATGAGTTAGAAAATGCCATCAACAAACTCTTCTTCTGTCTGTATGGCATCACCGCACCCAACCAGGTACCCGCATGGCTCTGGTGAGAGCAGAGCCCCGGCCAGTGCTTGGAGGTGCAACAGCACAGGGTGCAGCCACCATCACCCTGTTTTCCTCACCCAATGGCTCATTTTCCCCACCAAGGTTGTTCTTCTCTCCCTGACTCCAGGATGATTCTCCCAAGGCCACGGGGATGAAGGAGAAGTTCCACCACTGTCGGCAGAAGCTGCAGTACCTGAAGCAGCGGGTGGCTGACCTGCCCCCCACCAGCCACAGCCCCGATGAGGACGATGAGGTGCACAGTGGCTCCATCCCTGCTGTGGTTCTTGAGGACCCACACAGAGCTCCCCGAGATGGTCCATCCCAAGCTGTCCTCCCAGCTGGGAGGATGGAGGTGGCCCCAGGGAAGACCCATATTGCAGCTCACCCCCATTGGCACTGGGTGCTACAGGGTGTCCCGTCCAGGGGAGCATCAAGGTGGGGAATCCCTTGGGCTGTAACTCCTTCCTCCCCTTCAGCAAGTAACCCAGGGTGTCTTTAACAGATTTTTGTGAAAGTCAGACATATCCTGGAGAATACGACTGCAAGTGATACAAAGAACCTGAAGATTTCCTTGGATGACGCAGACAATAGCGTGCAAGGTAGGAGCACACATCAGGGACACGCCACACAGTGACTGTCCCAGCCCCTGCCTGCTGGCATTTCTGGGAGTCCTTGCCTGTCTCCTACTGTCCCAGCAGGCTCCAAGCCATGAATTGCCTCCGGACCTTGGGGCTGACCTTGGCTGCCTCCAAGGCTTTGAGAGCATGGGTGGTCATTTTAGATGGGGATGTGGGAGAACAAAGGCAGCTAGTGGGGTGGGATGTACCAAGGGGAGATGCTGTGGGGCAAGGAGGGAGACCCTCGTCTTCAAAATAACCTGGCTGTGAAGAATAAGCACTGCTTGGCTCTGCCTGGGGCCTCCTCCTGTAGGATACTCTTAGGGGAAATGATGAGCTTTTGGCAACTTACTACCATTTTTTAACAAAATGGGAGGTGTACTCACCACCTCATTGCTCCAGACTTTTTTTGGGAAGCCCCACCAGTGTTAGAGACAAGCCACAGCATCAGCAGGTCCTGCAGGTCACCCCAGGGTGCTGGAGTGTAAGAGCCAGTCGGCAGAGCCTGTGCCTAGGGTCTTGGCACGAGGACTCTCTGAGATGCCACCAGCCCTAGAAAAACATTCTGGCTCCCCTGGGGACACGGGCACAGCAGAGGTGGCACCACAGATCCTCCCCAGCCCGCTCCTCTCCACTCTCTCCTCCAGACCCCTTGTATTTTATTCGCAAAGGCCACAGCCTTGCCCTCTCCCGGGAAGAGATCAAGCAGCAGGGGATGCAACTGATTGAAAGCAATAAGAGCAAGAAGAAGAAGTAGCAGTTATTCTACAAGACCTTTGGATGCCGCAGACCACCTCTTGTACCTTTATCCCAGCAGGCTGTATTCAGCTATGGTGAAGCTGAAACCAAGGGGTCCTAGGTGACTTCTGTCACCCAGCACACATGGGAGTCAAACCCTGAGGGGTGCTGAGCTGGGTTTGAGGGCAGCCCCTGCCCCTTACCCAGCTGCCCTCTCTGCAGAGTTGGGGAGGGGTGGGGTGGGCACAGCTTTCCCAGCCAAGCTGGGACCACGTCGGTCCTGTGGGGCCAACACCTTCCTGGGACCTCTTCCTCCCCCTCTTCCCCGACAGCTCTGCGATCACGACGGGCTAGCGTCAATTCAAGGCAACCGTGGGGAAATGTGGGGCAGGGGCTGAGACCCGTACGGGTATCAGACCTCGGGGTGAGTATCTTCACATCCAAAAGCAGAAGGGCAGACCCTGCCTTGGAAAGGGAGAGCCAAACCCGAGAGGAAACCCCCAGCCTGACCTGTCTGTGGACTCTTTGCGCCTCTTCCCCTCTCTTGTCCCTGCACACAACTTGTACAACTCATACTCATAACCCTACACTCAGAGCAAACGTCGGGCAATACCTTTGGGCTGCAAGGAGGTGCCTGGAGGTAAGGTCTAACCCAACGTGACCTAGGACAGCAGAAGATGTTACCCAAGCCCTTGGCTCCAGGATGAGGTCCTCAGCCCTGCTGGTGGGTCACAGGCACCCAACCGCAGAGGCCACGTTCTCTTCTCTACAAAGGCTCATAAAACAACGCCGCGAATAGATGGTGCTGTTTCCCCAAGCAGGGGGCTCTGCCACAGAGGGCAAAGGAAGGGCCAGAGGGGGGGTCTGGGTGGCACCGGAGGGACTTGGAGGATACCAAAACGAGGGGCACGGAAACCCAGGGAGGCAGCAAGAAGAAAGGTTCAGAGGGGAAGGGGACTGGAGGGTGCAGGGGGTGTCACACGGAGGGGAAGGGGGGTAAGTGAGCACAGAGGGAACCAGAGCTGAGCTGAGGATGGCAGGTGGGAAAAGAGGTGATTGAGGATGGGGAGACCAGATGGAAGGAAGCCCTGCAGAGGGGAACAGAGCTGGCTGGGCTATGGGGGTAAAAAGGAATGGGGGGGGACTTGAGGCAGAGGGTAAGTGCCAGCAGAGGAGCTGATGATACTCAGGATCAGAGGGACT